TCTCGTATACTGCTCACAAAGCAGATAATACATTTTAATAAGAACACAAACTTTTAATTCAGTTCCTGTAGAAAGTTGTAACGTGCCTCAGTTATTCCCTGTCTTCCCTTGAAAATTAGGACATAGCTGTGAATGACATCTGTGTCAAGAACAGATGTGAGCATGGCTCCATCTCGCCTCTGGGCCAGAGGCTTGTGGGGAGAGCTGGGGAGGAAGGTTTAAGTACCCCTCCCCTAGAAGTTCAGCTCATAAACTGCACACTGGAACTCCAGGGCAGTATATGGAGGGGATGTTGCGGGGGGAGAGGGTGGAGAGTAGCAATCAGAGGTGCTGTCATTCAGATGAGATGTTAAACCAAGGTCCCATTTGTGCCTGTTTGATGGACAATAGAGACCCCCCCGGCCTGGTGATAAAAGACAAGGGCAATTCCCCGGCGTGTGAGCCGACTGTTCCCCAGAATAAGAAAAAAGCTTTCTTTCACCACACCACAAGCCAGCTTGTTTGTCTTGAAAAGGCTGCAGGGAAATCCATGCTGTCCATAAGCAAAAATTACTGGAGAAGCGCAGGATCTTTCCTTCACGCTTCACAACATTAAAGATTGCCAAAAGGCTGGAAGACAAAACAGATGGAGAAGGTTTCCCACAGCTTCCAACGAACGGCTTTGAGTGTCCCTCATTGGCTTCTTTTGAGCCTCCTGGGTGTAGTTGGCAAGATTCCAGGCTGCTGATGCTGTGAGGAGTAGTGGTGCGTTCAGCTTTGCAAAGAGGAATCTTTGCCTTTTGAATGCAGAAGCGTGAGCTGCAGCTGCAGAAACAGGTGTTGCCTGACACCATCGACCCACATTGTTACAGGCTTGCCAACTGGTCAAATGGACAGTTGAGGGTAATTAATGACTGGAACAGGTTGCCAGGAAGGGGGAAAGATTCAAGCTCCGTGCATCTGTCTCTCCCATTCTCTCCCGGCTCCATTGGCTCCCCGTCCTCCAGAAGATAGATTTGAAAATCCTCGTCCTCACTTTCAAAGCGCTCCATGGTCTTGCTCCTCCCTACCTTTGTGACCTGCTAACTCCATACCGACCTTTCCACTCAGCAGACTCTGACCTGCTCCATGTCCCCCATCCGGCCCGTCCCACCATTGGTGGTCGGGCCTTCAACCTCTCTGCCCCACCTTTTGGAACTCCATCTCACAGACCCTTCACCTCGCATCCTCGCTTGCCACCTTCAAGGCCATTTCTAGACCCTCCTCTTTGACAGCGCCTTCGGTCACCCTCCTACCCCTGAGCAAATCCTTGATTGACACACAGGATCCACTTAAAGTGTAGTCACTGTGTATTTATCTGCCACCTTAACTGCCTGCAAGACAGCATTCAATATTAAGCAGAGCCTTTCTTTCTAGATCATCTTGCATTATTAAGTAGAATCTTGAATTTAGCTTCTGGTTACCTTGCGATTCAGATGAGACCCCTCTCCTGTTCTCGTGGGAAATTCCTTAACTTGTTCTTTGTGTTATTTAATGATGGGGAATAGTGCATCTACAGCATATCAAATGCTAATATCAAATGCAAGGATTATTATTAATTATAATTGATTTAATCCACTGCACTGGAGGATCAGCTTGGATGATGTGAGTTCAAAGTCCTGACGTGGGGCATTGAAGTTACGAGAGGTGAGAATGTTTCCGACTGAGGCAGACTGTCACACAGCTCGATGATATAGGCAGCGTGTTGTGGATGGATGAGGTCGAATGGGCTGAACCTCTCTTCCGAGTTTGTGAATGAAATTTGGGGATCCAAAGTTGAGAGGGCGGGAGTTAAAGCTTTCTGTCCTCACACAGCTGTGTCCTCTCTGATTAGCTGGATTCCCAGCACATCTCAGTTAATACCAACCACAATAAATCAATGTTCTGGTCAAGTAGTCAGTACTCCATTTCAGTTTAAATTATACTCATAAGTCGAGATTCCTTTAGGGCTCTACCTTTACAAATAACCAACGCCGCAAACTCTACACCAACTCACTAATAATAATTCTTGCATTTGATGTAGCGCCTTATCATGTCTTCGAGACATCTCAAAGCACTTCACATACACACATATATATATGTTTCACAGGATATACTGTAAAATGAATTGACTATATTTTTCTTCGGAACAGAGCCAGGTGGAAGCAATATTGAGTCTATAAGAGAGTACAACACTCCACATAACAAAGTTTAGTTGGCAATTTTAACCATAACATTTGTACTTTATGCCAATTAACCCAAGGAACTTCACCAATTGTGCTTGTGATCTTCCCACTGGGATGTGCAGTTTTGATTCGAGACATCTCCATATCAGTCAAAAAGTACAAAGAAAACTGCTTTATACAGCAACAGAAGAACATAAGAAATAGGAGCAGGAGTAGGCCATTCGGCCCCACGAGCCTGCCCCACCATTTAATAAGAACATGGCTGATCTTCTAACCTAATTCGATTTACCTGCCCTATCCCCATATCCCTTAATTCCTTTAGTTTTTGAATTCTCAGTCTTGAATACGTAATAACAATTATCCCTGCTTTTTATATATTGCCTAATCACGTTCTCAAAAGTCTCTTTCACAGGATTTACTGTAAAGTGTAACGACTGTGTATTCTGTAGATGAACATGGCACCCAGAAATATCCCACAAACAGCCATGAAGTGAATGATCAGTTTTATCTGGGTATTATTGGCCAGGACAATGGGAGAAAATCTGTTCTCTTTTCAAATAGATATCTTTAATGTCCACCGAAACATGCAGACAGAACTTCGGTTTAATACAGTGCTGCATTCCACTGAATTGTTGGAGATGCCATCTTCGGATGAGATGTTAAACCGAGGTCCCGTTTATATGTACAAATGAATGTTAAAGACCCCATGGCACTATTCAAAAAGAAAAAGCAGTTTCTCCTGGCGACCAGACCAACAATTCCCCAGATAAAACTGGTCATTCACTTCAGGTTCACTTCAGGTTGTTTGAGGGACATTGCTGTGTGTAAAATGGCTGCAGAGTTCACCTACAATTAGTCACTATAATAATAATAATAATCCTTGTATTTCATAGAGCGCCTTATCATGTCTTCTGGACGTCTCAAAGCGCTTCACAAAATATACTGAAATGCGGCAGCCAATTGCACACAGCAGTGTCCCACAAACAGTCACGGATTGAAGTGACCATTTTATATATTTTTTCTTGAGGGATTATTATCAGGTGTGTGGAGTAAAGAAACTTGCCCAAGGTTTCACTCTGCCGGAAATCGAATCCAGGTCTCTCGCTTGCAAAGCGAGTGCTCTAACCACTGAGCTACAGGACTCCACTATATTATACAGTGAATCATAGAATCATGGATCAAACATAGAAAGAGAGCATTCGGCCCATCGTGTCTGCACTGGCTCCGAAAAGAGCAATCAACTCAATCCCACTGGCCTGCTTTCTCTCCATAGCCCTGCAATCCTGTCCTCCCCAAATACCCATCTACTTCTCTCTTAAAAGTTGTTATTCAATCGGCTTCCACTGCCTTTTCAGGTAATGCATTCCAGATCCCAACAACTCGCTGGGTGAAAAAAAAAATCCTAACCTCCCCTCGGTTTCTATTAACAACTATCTTAAATCGGTGTCCTCGGGTTACTGACCTACATGCCAGTGGAAACAGTTTTAAAATTTGTTAAAAATTGTTATTTTTAACAATTGTTAAAAATTATGAGGGATTTTGATAGAGTAGTTAGGGAGAAACTGTTTGCACTTCAGGTGGTCAGTAACCAGAGGACATAGATTTAAAATAATTGGCAAAAGTACCAGAGGGGAGATGAGAAGTATATTTTTTTACACAGAATAGTTACAGTCTGGAATGCACTGCCTGAAAAGGTGATGGATACAGATTCAAAAACAACTTTCAAAAGGGGATTAGATAAGTACTTGAAAAGAAACAAATTGTAAAGATATGGGGAGTGGGAATGATTGGTAGCTCTTCCAATTGGCCTCCTTCTGTACTGTAATATTCTTTGATTCTATGATTCTATAACAACTGGAACAGGGTGCATGGAAGAGTGGTTGAAGCCAGGACACTGGGACTCATTTAAAAAGCAAGTTGATGGTATGATTAAGGAGACAGTAGAATGGATGTTCTGGAGGGATGAGATTGGATGGGCCAAAGATCTTCTTCTTCATCGAATCAATCTTGTGATCTATTATTATGCTTCTCAAAAAAGTGTAAATTAAGGTATTTCTGACCAGGATTGTTTTGTGAGCGATCTGAATCTCACAAACGGGAGACAACTGCAGGGAGATAGTGCACAGTCCATTCAAAACACAGGGAGGTTTCTCAGGTCTAGTTTGCAAAGTCGATTAAATGTTGCGTTGTTTACTGGCTCTTGGCTCACGTTGGCTGTCGGCCATCTTTAGATCCCCGTGCTAAGAGAATGGACGATTTGCAGCCCATCAGGTCACTGGCGATGTCACTTCCTGCTTCGCTCACACAGCAGGAATTGATGTCGATGGGAACCCAACAAACCCAGAAATCAGTCTTTTTTCTCTCTCTATTAACGCAAGAAACCATCCAGCTCGCAGGAAGCAAGCTGTCCGGCTACACACATGTATAGATCACAACACCCTATAAGGCAGGATGGGATTAAATGGATGCCCACTGCGTTATAATAAATCTCCACTGCATGTCTTAGCCCTTTCTCAATTAACTCAATAATCAGAGCACATCGGTGGATACACCCTTATTCTGTGTCACTCTACGTAATTCTATGAATCTGCTTCATTCACATTTACAAGGAACACGATAATAACTTGCATTTACATAACATCCTTCAATGTAGAGTGATGCCTTAGAGCACTTTACAGGAACACTGAACAAGGGAGGGGGGGAGGGGTTAAGAAGTGTGCACTCAATGAGCTAAGATTTGACGAGAGTCCTACGGAGGGAGGGAGCGAGTGGTGGAGGGAGGGAGGGTGGAGAACCATAAATGATATGTTCACAAACCTTGTTTACGCCACATCTGGTCCCATCTGCTGCAGCGTCCAGCTTGGAGCGACACGTGCCGTTCACAGAGCACCAGAGAGTCTGGCAAATGTTCTGTCAATAATAAACCAGAGGGGCACAGGAGTCAGACTTCAAACCACAGCTAAAAAGCCTCATCCGCAAACTGGCTAGAGGGTACTCAGTCATAACAAGGGAAGAGAGGCATAATGGTGGACATCCGTAAAAAGAGACAGCGGATCAGTGCAGCAGGATTGGTTTGCATGAAGCGAGCAGTGACAGCATTGTTTTATGAGCACTCTATGAGCTCTCTATGGTGGGTGTGTTGTATGGTGAGCAAAATGTATGGTGATACGCTGTGCAGTGGGTGCATTGGGTAGCTTAACAATATGATCCTGATCTGTGCTGACTTAGATACAGAGAGAAAGGTGTAAGTGTGTGTGTGTGTGTGTGTGTGTGGAGGGGGGCGCGGGGACTAAGAAACAGAAAGAGAGAGTTGTTCGGATCTGGAATGCATTGCCTGAAAGGGTGGTGGAAGCCGATTCGATAACAACTTTCAAGAGAGAAGTAGATAGATGTTTGGGGAGGACAAATTTGTAGGGCTATTGGGAGAGAGCAGAGAGCGGGAGAATAGGATTAATTTGGACAGCTCATTCAAAGAGCCAGCATGGACACGATGGGCTGAATGGCCCCCTTCTGTGCTGCATAATTTTATGATTCTATGAGATATAAAGAGCTGCTGTTGAGACATGCATAGATGAACGTTCAGCTTTTTTTGTAACATAGATAACCCTCTACTTATGTTCCGATCAAAACAGTGCCTTGCGTCAGTTTTTGTCTCTACAAGAGATTTAAAGGAAGCTACACAAATATCAATCATTTAGCACTGTCTTGCCTTGGGGGGGGGAAGAGGTGAAACATACATCAAACCAAATTCAATTTAGAGTGTTTTTCTCTTTTGCAAGGACATTTGCATATCCAGTATGGTTTATTACAGGCGATTGCTGACATCTCCCAAATGAATGATTGAACCATTTAAGGTGCATGATCTGCTAACTGATACTCCAATCAATCAAACGACCTCCGTGGTGCCTCTCCCAGGATCACAGAGGGTATTTGTGAAATCGAAGCATACAAGTTCCACACTATAGGAAGGATGTTAAGGCATTGGAAAAGGTGCAGAGGAGATTGTCCTGTAGCTCAGTGGTTAGAGCACTCGCTTTGCAAGCGAGAGACCTGGGTTCGATTCCTGGCAGGGTGAAAGCTTGGGCAAGTTTCCTTACTGCACACGCTTGATAATAATCCCTCAAAAAAAACAATAATAAATTGGTCATTCCAATCCATGACTGTTTGTGGGACACTGTTATGCACAATTGGCTGCCGCGATTCGCCCACAATTATACAGTCAATTCATTTTGCAGTCTATTCTGTGAAGCGCTTTAAGACGTCCAGAAGACGTGAAAAGCGCTATGTCAAATGCAAGGATTATTATTATTATTATTGTCCGTCAGGAACTGGGGAAGAACCCTCTGCTGTTTTGCATAGCTTCATGAGATCTCTACGGCCACCCAAACAGGCAGATGGCACCTCGGGCTTAACATCTCATCTGAATGATGGCATTTCCAATAATACAGCACTGCCTGGCAGTACTGCACTTAGACTGGGAGATTTGGGGTTTGGACGCACAACATTGAGACCCTATGGCAGGAGTGTTACCAACTGAACCAAGCTGACACATAAGAGAGAGAGAGACAAAGTCCATTGTGGGTTTCAAGGGGGAATGAGACAGGTATACGAAGGATAAAGGCTTGAAGGGATACAGGGATAGGAAGGGGCAATGAGATTGAATGGACACTTTGCTCTGAGAACTGGTTCAGAATTGATGGCCTCTTTCTGCGTTGTGAATTGCTATCATCCTACGATAAGTTCACACATGACAGTGAAGACATTTGCTGTCGGATGCAAGGTCGAGAGGACATCAGATGATATCAGTTATAGCGAAAGCATGTTTAACAACACTCCAGGCAATCTTGGTAAACACAGCCTACTCCAAAAGTTACATCTTTATTTAATGGGAGCTACGGTTCCACAAAATTGCTTGTAATCCTCTCAGTTGCAGTCTTGCAGGCAGTGTCCAGCTGGTGCTGTTAAGCTTTAGTGTTGCTTTTAATGTCTCGATCACTTTTAGCATTTTCCTCAGGTTCACTTTTACACTGAAGAATACTAATAATAATCCTTGCATTTGATATAGCACCTTATCACATAATTCAGATGACTCAAAGCACTTCGCAGAACATGGCAGATGGAGAGGGAACTGGGTGATTCACTAGATCAGGACCCTATCTTTTAGGTGTCAATCTCGCTCAGTTGTTAGCACTCACTCCCAGCTTCGAGCCCCACATCGGGACTTTGCATGCCCATTCCCTCACAGGCTCCACTGGCTCTCTGGTACCCAATCGATCGATTCCAAGGTTCACAATCTCACCTATAAATCGCTTCACACCCTAGCCAGCACCTAGGCTGATACCTCAAACAGAGTCCTCTGTTCCACTATTGGTGGCTGCACGTTCAGCCCCGAAAATCCGGAACACCCTTCCTCTATGCCTTCGCCTTGCCCCTTTCTTCCTCATTTTCAGGTCGCACCTGAAGAATTTCCTATTCGACTGTGCCTACGGTTACTTCCCCCTCCACCGGCTCAGAGTCATGCTCCGCCACTGTCAAGCACTATGGGATGCTACCCTGCGTGATGGGCACTATATAAATGCAAGTTGCTGTTGTTGTGATACTCCAGTCAGTGTTGGGGTTGGCGGTTGGGGGGAGAGGAGGGGGGGGAGAGCGCAACATTGTCAAAGAGTCTCAGATACACTCTCAGATAACCCCAGAGACACACAAGTGATGTAACATGAGGTCTCACTTATGAAAACGTGAGCAATGAGATTGATGACAGATTTCAGCTGGATAATAGTATTCAGAACGGTGCCTCCATCCATTTGATGTAGCACTTATACACCCAGAATGTGCCCAATTTGTGCATGCAAATGATCCTCAGTGACATTCTTCACCGCCACCGCATATTAGACTCAGGCAGAGACCGTCCAGCTCATCAAGGCTATACTGCCAATTTATTAGATAATATATTTTTTAATCCCATCCCCTGCCTTTACTCCACATCCCTTGACCCCCTTTATTTCCCTAGTACAGCTCTATCTGTCTTAGCTCCACCATCCATAAACTCCAACTTATCCAAAACTCCACACCCAAATCCTCACCTGCATCAAACATTACACGCCCATTGTCCGAGTCCTTGCCAGGTTCTACTGGCTCCGAGCAGACCGTTAAAACAACAACAAAATTACATTTGTATAGCACCTTTCACGTCGGGAGGACGTCCCAAAGCGCTGAACAGTCAGATGTCGGGGCCCAAGCATGGGGGAGGGGTGGTGTAGGGGTGAGGGAAGTCAGAGAGGTGGGAGGGAGACCAAAGGCACAATCGAAGAGAAGGGTCTTGAGACCGGCCTTGAAGATCCTTATCCTCACCTTCAAATCCCATTATGCCCTAGCACCTTTCTGATCTCCACCTAACCCATTCCAACCTGCGGCTCCCGCCTTTTCTTCACCATCATCAGTGACCGGGCCTTCAGTTCCTACACCGCTAATCTCTGTCAATCCATCTTTCTCCACTTCGACTCACCCTCTCTCTGTCTGTCCTCAAGACCTGCTGTCTTTGGTTGCATCTATGGTCACCTCTCCTTTCTCCCCCCTCCCCTACTCAGCATCTGATCCCAGCGCTGTGTAAAAAGCATTCCAAGACTTTACCCTGCACAAAGGGCACAAGTCGTTGCTATAGTTAGTTTACAAATGAACCATGACGTCACTTACATCCATTTCATCACAGAAAGTAGAGTTGGGCCCGTACTGCAGTTGGCACTGATGGTGAACATCGTAGAGGACTCCAGGGGCAACAATTGGAAGCTTTAAATCCTTTTCAGTCGGTGGATCATTGAGGCAATAACCCCAACCTCGGCTGCGGGCAGAAAGAGAGAGTGAAACTTTTGAGAGTGGATAAAAGCGGTGTGGAGTCCTGTAGCTCAATGGTTAGAGCACTCGCCTCACAAGCTACTTCTAAAAACATTATAATAATAAATTGGTCACTTAAATCCATGACTGATTGTGGGACATTGTTGTGTGCAATTGGCTGCCACATTTTGCCACAAAATATACATCAATTCACTTTACAGTATATTCTGTGAAGCACTTTGAGACCTCTCGAAAGCATGATAAGGCGCTATATCAAACGCAAGGATTATTTATTGTAGCTCGTTGGTGCAATCCTGTAGCTCAGTGTTAGAGCATTCGCTTCGCAAACGAGAGACCTGGATTCGATTCCAAAACCTTGGGCAAGTTTTCTTACTCCATGCCTGATAATAATCCCTCAAGAAAAAATAATAATAATAAATTGTTCACTTCAATCCACGATAGTTTGTGGGGACACTGCTGTGCGCAATTAGCTGCCATGTTTCGCCCACAAATATACAGTCAATTCACTTTACAGTGTATCCTGTGAAGCACTTTGAGACGTCTAGAAAAGCGCTGTATCAAATGCAAGGAATATTATTCATTCCATGTTTTTTTCATCGCTCATCATATGCGATTGAAGTGAACACAAATGAGCAGCTTTATTGCTCTGAAAAAGGTCAAGCGAGAAGATTGAGAATTGAATCGATCGCTACATCTGACAGAAGCTTGTGCCTGTGATTTTAAGCGGGAAGATGTGCTCCTAATTTGTTCTCATTGTGAGACGCCTTATGATGGNAAAAAATTTCCGCACCACAAGAGTTGCTTTGACAAGGCCAACTTCACTGTCTGACAGATGGGCCCTGCATCTCAGGAAAAATATATTGGCCCTGGAGGGGATACAGGGCAGATTTACCAGAATTATACCAGGGCTAAAAGGTTAAATTATAATAATAATACTAATCCTTGCATTTGGCATAGTGCCTAATTACACCGTTGAGACGTCTCAAAGAGCTTCACAGAATATATTGTAAAGTGGATTGACTGTATATTTTGTGAGCGAAATATGAGGGCAGGTTGCATAAACTTGGCTTGTACTCCCTTAAGTTTAGAAGGTTGAGGGGTGATCTAATTGAAGTGTTTACAATAATAAAGGGATTCGACAGGTTAAACAGAGAAAGTACTTTCTCTGGTGGGAGAATCCAGAACAAGGGTTCATAATCTTAAAATTAGAGCTAGGCCATTTAGGAGTGAAATCAGGAAGCACTTTTTCAGACAAAGCACAGTGGAAATCTGGAATCCTCTCCCCCAAAAGGTTGTGGATGCTGGATTCACTCAAATTTCCTGTGGGCTGCGTGCAATTGGCTGACACATTTCGCCCCCACATATACTACAGTTAATTCACTTTACAGTATATTCTGTGAAGCTCTTTGAGATGTCTAGAAGATATGAAAAGTGCTAATCAAATGCAAGCATTATTATATTATAATTTTCAAGACTGAGATTTTTGTTAGGTCAGGGTATCAAGGGATATGGGACAAAAGTGGGTAAATAGAATTGAGGTACACATCAAGCATGATCTTATAGAAATGCGGAACATTGAAGTATGTTAAAGATGAAAAGATAAATACCTGTTCGCCAATGGGATTTAAGGTTATAGGAATCAAAATAGCTGGAAATAATAAGCAACCTCATGGAACATTAGCTGTGAGTAAGGTAGTAATTTCCATTACAAATTTGCTGATGGAGGAGGTGATTGTTTGACGAGGAACATGCTTTTGGGAGGTTTTTCAAGCGAAAGAGGAAACAAGGCAAAGAGGTCACAGAATTGATTCAGATTAAGAGGGCTCTTACCATCTTCCCATTACAGCATCAACTACTTTATCAATGAGTCAGACGTCCTGGCCTCAACCTCTTTCAGTTATTATCCTCTGGATAAAGAAAATCTTCCCAATGTCTGTCCTGAAATTGCCCTTTGCTGTGCCCTCTTGTTCTATTGTCTTGGTGCTTTCTAAAGTATTGTTCAGGATTTTCCGCTTTGATCCCATTTAAAAATCTATACACCTCCATAAGGTGCCTTCTGAGTCGTCGCTTTTGAAGACTGAAGAGAACACTAGCTTGTCTCATCTTTGCTCATAGCTCATTCCTCTAACTCTGGGGATCATCTTCCTTATTCTCCTCTACATCACCTCCAAGGCCTAAGCTGATTCCTTATCTCACGGTGACCAGAACTGCATGCATTATTCAAGGTGCAGCCTGATTAGAGTGCTATGTAGCTTGAGTATGACATCTGGGGATCTGACCTCATCTGATTTGAATCACAAGCATGCAGACACTTTAATATGCAACCCAGAGGTGATCCTGGAAATAATGCTGATTCCATTAAATTACCCAACTTTGTTCTCTCCTTCGGGAATACGTGAGACAGACTCAGTCCCTTCACTAAATACATCAGCTATTGTGAAATGCTTTGCGTTCCCGTGTCTCTCAGTCTGAACCTCTATGAAAGTCTTGTTTTTTTCCAACAAATACACAGTTACTATACTTCACAGCATGCAAAGACAACAACGTGTATTTATATAACGCCCTTTATGTAGGATGACGTCTTGGAGTGCTTCATAACGGCAAGCAAGGGGAAAGCGATGGCGGAAGGGAGGGGCACCCCAGGAGGTCAAACATCTGGGACTTAAGATGGGATATAAAGACAGATAGAGAACAGGGGAGGCAGAGAATAGTGTCTGCTTTGAGCTCAACCCACCTAAGCTGGCATTGAAACTGAGAACTCAGCCTGCCACACATCCAGTTACTTGCAGGATCTCTGTTTATAAATCTTTTGCATATCTCGCAAATTAGACCCCTCCGCAGATGGAAGACAATTTGTGCACAACAAATAGCCATTAAATGAATGATCGTTTTTGTCTGGACAATGTTGGCCAGGACACTGGGAGAAACTCCCTTCTCTTTTTGAATAGTGCCAGAAGCTTTTTAAGGTCCACTTGAACGGGCAGATGCGGCCACAGTTTAAGGTCTCACCTGATGGACAGCACATCTGACAATTCAGTGCTTCCCCCAGCACTGCACTGGAGTGTCAGCCAGGACTGTGAGCTCAAAGTTCCTCATGCAGGGCTCAAATCTACAACCTTCTGACCAGAGGCGAGAGTGCTATTTCAACTGAATCGAAATTAACCTGAGGGTACCACTTTTTAAACTCTGAGTTTAAAGGTCAGAGAAGGTGAATTGCTTCAAAATTAATTTTCTGTAGAAATTTAAAATAATAGGTTACTGGACTAGAGTTCAGCTTCTGAGCTCCCATTAGTTGAACTATTACACTACAAGTAACACATCTGTGGAGCAAACAGCGAGGATGAGGAAAGTTATATAAAGCAAAGTTCTATTCACAAAAGAATCCTCCTCTTCCAAAAGAGGCTTACAAAATTGCACTTCTTTTATTTCCCCTTGTTATTTCCAGAAAGCCAAAAAAACACCCACGAGATACAGATAAATTGGTAATGAGCTGTTTTTCACAGGTGTCTGAGCACTAAAGAGACCATCATGGAACTTTAATAAATATCTCCACAATGTTCAATCACACTCCAAAGGCAACATGTCAAACAAGTGGCAACTGAGTGTTATTCAACAAGGCATTTCTTTCCTCACCTTTAACTGGAATCAACAGGTAGAGTCAGGTGTCAGGCTGACTCAGCTGGTTGCTCTCTTGAGTCTTTTGAGTCAGAGGTTCATTATAATAATAATCCTTGCATTTGATACAGTGCCTTATGAAAGGCGCTATACAATTGTAATTTGCTCTTGATGTTGTCACGGTTGTTGAGTTGTCTCAAAATGCTTCACAGAATATATTGTAATGTGAATTGACTGTATATTTTGTGGGCGGAACATGGTAGCCAATTGCACACAGAAGTGACCCATAAACAGTCGTGGATTGAGTGATCAAATTATTAGTTTTTTTTATGTATTTATTTATTTGTGAAAGACTTACTACCCCCAGAAAGTGATCCACCAAGTGACTAACAACCAGGTTCCTACTTACTGCGAGGTAAACAGGCGTGTGGAGTAAGGAAATTTGCCTAAGGTTTTGTCTCGTCAGGGAATCAAACCCAGGTCCTCTCAGTTGCAAGGCGAGTGCTCCAACCACTGCACAACAGGATTCCACTATTGCCTTTCTTTTTGGTTAGTCCAATGGGGCCTTTAACTTCCAATTACATTGAAACTTCAGCACTAAAACAGGCCACTCAACCCCTTTGCATACAGTCAATTCACTTTACTGTATATTCTGTGAAGCGCTCTGAGTCGTCTTGAAGACGTGATAAGGCCCTATATCAAATGCAAGGATGATTATTATTATTTATTAACTATTCCCTACAGTGCGGTGCTGGGGGAACTTTGCAATGTTGGATGTGCCATGCTTCAGATGTAACGTTGAACTGAGTTCCTGTCTGCCTGTTCAGGTGGACATTAAAGATCCCATAGTAGTATCTGAAATTACAATTTTTTTTAGTTTAGGTTATTGTTGGCCAGGACACTGGGAAAACCCCCTTCCCTTTTCAAATAATGCCATGGGATCTTTAGCGTCCACCTAAACAAGCAGATGTGGCCTTAGTGTAACATTTCATCACTGCTTTGCAGTGGCAGCTAAGACTATGTGATTCTAAGTCCCAACGTGGGGCTTGATCCCGCAACCTTCTGTCCCAAAGCTGAGAGTGCTACCAACTGCAGTCAGAGACACCATTAAGCTCCAAGACCAGTGATAACTATCGATGGCCTCTTAGCACTTTTGTTAATTGATATGATAATTATCACCAGTGATAACAGCACATGCCCCTTCAAATCTTAAAACGTAATAAGGCAGAAAGTCTCCATTCAGATCACCGAGCTTGTGCAGGTGTTTTTCTCCACCTGAGCCTCCCAATCTAATCCGACTCTGCTGCTCACTCCCCTCAGGCCCCCTTTCATATTTTCTATCTTTCATATTTTCTATCTTTTTCATATTTTCTATCTTTCATATTTTCTATCTTTTTTTCGAGCCTCTACAGTATCTAATTTCCTTTAAAATGAAAATATGCAGTCTGCCTCAATAACTGTTTTGTGACAGAGAATGTTTCTGCAATCCTGCCACCCTCTTTGAACTCTGCACAAATTCCCGAACCTGCTGTGGACTTGTCCAGACGTCACTGATAAAACCTGACAGCGAAAAGAATTCTGACGTTTCCCAATTTTCCAATTTCCCACAATGTTTCTGCACAACACAAACCTGAAAAGAATATCTCGCCTGGTTTTTCAGAGGGTCATGGTTAATCCTGTGTGCTCTTATCTGCAATCTGCCTTTCGTTCTCCCTCATACCCTTAATAACCTCTGACGTTAACATTACTTATCTGTTACTGACGCCTATGTGCCTGTATGACGTCTCTGCTCCTCACTGTTGTTTGGAGTCGTGCAGATTTCTGTTTGTCACAAATTTTCCCTACAATTTTTACTGAAAACTTTACTGTGTATATGTGTGTGTATGTGCATGCATGTACATGTTGCATGTGTGTAAGTGTATACTGAACTCATGTGAGTGTGCGTGTCCGAGTGTGTGTATATGAGTGTGTATATGTGTGAATGTTTATGTGTGTGAGTCAGATGTGTTTGAATGAATATATGCCAATATATAGGTGTGTGAGCATGAAATTGACTGTGTATTTGTGTTTATCCTGAATATTTACATTGCAATTTGCGATTTACTGCAGAGGATTCAAGGAATGTCAGGGCTGGATGAGCCAGAGTTTAGGGACGCCTAGAAAATGTGCCTCTCGCCTTTTTTTTTTGGTGTACAATTCATTTGAACATGATGAATTATAGCTGCTTATGGCACAAGAGACTGGAAGCAGCAATCCGGAAAACCCTGAATTATTCAACATATCAGCTTGTTAGATGATAATTCACAGCTCTCCAAATTTAAATGAATCGCTTCACATCCATCATGTGCTCTCGCAGAAACTTTGGGTCTAGAACTTCCGTTAAAGTACATTCCTTTCCTAACATAATAAAATGAACAGCAAAATAATGCGCTTTCAAATTCCCCGCATCATCCCCTACCCTGAACTAATGGCCTCGCCCAAACAATGTTGAACAAATAAGTCTCACCATCGTCGGTTCCAGTTTAGCAAGGACTTCTTTTTCGGTCCACCAGGTATCTGTCATATGTGGAAACCCACCACGATGCTTAAAAGTTTTAAGCACGTCACTTACACATGTAGATTCCTGAGTGTAGAATGGAATGCGCACTCTCTCCTTGGATGGATGCGCCCTGCTTACCCAATTCCGGAGAGTATTAGGCTCAGGTTGGCAAGAGCCAAGATGTGGGGGGGGACCCCAGAGTGTGAGTTGGGATTTCTGATGGAGTTTAACCAGCTAAAACCGCATCACAAGATTCCTGCTGCTTGTTCAGCTAGGACCATACTTGCAAGGTTATCATGTCCCGAGAGGGAAGAATCCCTGCCCAAGTGCAGGAATAATTTTCAAAGGCTAAAAACATTGTTTTTCACCTTCCCCCAACACTGACTCCTTCCCACCTTGCTCGGCGTCTCACATAATCAATGTAAAGCACTTCCAGACATTGTCTTAATAGTAATAATAATAATCCTTGAATTTGATATAGTGCTTTTTACGTCTTCTAGACGTCTCAAAGCCCTTCACAGAACAGACTGTAAAGTGAATTGACTGTATATTTGTGGGCGAAATGCGGCAGCCAATTGCGCACAGCAATGTCCCACAAACAGTCGTGGATTGAAAATGACCAATTTATCATTGTTTTTTTTTGAGGGAATATTATCAGGCTCTGTGTGGAGTAAGGAAACTTGCCCAAGGTTTCACCCTGCCGGGAACTGAACCCAGGTCTCTTGCTTGCAAAGCGAGTGCTCTAACCACTGAGCTGCAGGACTCCACATGTCTTATACAATAGGCACTATAGAGTTACAAGCTATGAACAGGTTTTTCCACAAACGTTAGTAAAACGAGAGGATTTCCATCCACTGGCTCCTCTGCAGATCCAAGTCATTATCCTTGGCCTCGCATTTGAAACCCCCAGGATCTCACCCCCATCCTAGACCTCTGTGACCTCCTGGAATTCTTCTGGCCAAGGCATTCCCTTTGTTTGCGAACACAGGCCTGTTTCATGTCATCATCTCCCCTCTATCCAGCTCACCATCAGCAGGCAAGCCTACCAGCTCTCTCTGAAACTCCATTCCAGGAGTGCTTCTGGCTTTCCCCCTTCCCTCCCCAGTTTCAAAGCCCACCTTTAAGCCGTAACTCTCACCATGTTTTGGTAATTTGTGCTCCAGCTCCCCCCACCTTCCACACCCCTCCCTCTTCAGCTCCCCACACCCCCCACTTCTTCTGACCCCCAGCCCACTTCTCCCGAGCTCAGGCCTCCAATGAAGTACTTTGATACATCATCCCAAGATGAAAGGCGCTGGACAGTTGCAAACTGTAGTGTCCATTGTATCACAATTCAAACAACAGACAACAAAAACAAATTAGATTTGTATGGTGCCTTTCACGTCAGGAGGATGTCCCAAGGCGCTGGACAGTCAGGGATCTGCACCCGAGCTGGTGGTTGGGATCAGGAGGGGTGGAGGGCTGGAAGGATAGGGGTAAGAGCGTGCTGAAGGCATTGTTGAAGAGGAGGGTCTTGAGATGGGTCTTGAAGGAGGCAAGGGAGGGGACGAGGTGGAGGGACTGTGGGATGGTGTTCCAGAGTGTAGGGGTAGAAAGGCTGAAGGACCGCCTGCTGAGCGGAGGGAGCGGACTGGTTGGCAGGGGGTTGGACACCTGAAATTCGCCGTTCTATCTCACCCGTTCATATTCGCCATGAGCCTTTGTGAAGCGAGCAAAATAAAACTCCAAAGCAAGAAATATTCCAAGTGGGAGAAAGGGAGAGACGAGCCAGTGTGAGATACTCACTCCAGAAACCGTGTGATGTAATCTTTACTGCAGGACGACCACGTGAGAGGAGAATGATCATACTGGAGCTGCCGAGACATGATGTAGTGGTGCTTCCCAAAGACTTCACAGTCGTTCCCTATCCCATCGTGCTGAATACCAAAGCTGCAATGGTAAGGGAAAATCCAATGGGATCCCACTGGTCGTGAAACTAAAGCAATGGAAAAGGCGCAGCGTAGATAGAATTCATCATTCACTTCACAGCTGTTTATACAATAAAAATAATAATCTATATATCTAATATAAAGCCTAATGACAATAATGATTTTTGCATTTGATACAGCATCTTATCACGTTTTCGGGACGTTTCAAAGCGCTTCACTGTAAATCGAATTGACTATATTTTGTGGACGAAATGCGGCAGCCAATTGCACACAGCAGTGTCCCACAAACAGCCGTGAATTGCGTGACCAATTTATTATTGTTATTTTTTAAGGGGTTATTATCCCCGGAAACGTGATCCACCAATTGATTAAGACTTCCTACTTAAAGCTGGGTAAATAAGAGTCATGAGGACTAACAAAACTTGCCTAAGGTTTTGCCCTGCCTGGGAATTGAACCTAGGTCCTCTCACTTGTGAAGCAAGTGTTCTAACCAATACATTACAGGAGTCCATGTTGTTATGACGTTGACGAGACGTCTCAAAGTTATACTGTAAAGTGCTATTTATTCTGTGGGCGAACGCAGCAGACAATTTGCCCATGAACACTTTACGTTGATAAGCGACTTCACAGAGCAGGATGGGCACCCAAACTGGGGAGGGGGTGCTGGGAGTGGGGAGGGGAAATATGACCAAAAGTGCGGTCAAAGAAGTAAGTTTGGAGATGTACCTTGAAAAAGGGGAAGCGAGCGAACAAAGAGGTGAGGGAGGGAATAAATGTTTGTGGGCCATTGCTGTGCGCAAATTGACTACTTCTAGCGTCCTCAAAAGCACAGACACCTAACTTTATGAAAACTCTGTGCAGCGCTTTGAGATATTTTGATGTTATATGCATTATATAAAATAATAAATAATCCTTGCGTTTGATATAGCCCCTATATCAAAAAAAATGCAGTTTCTCTCTCCCAGCATCCTGGCCAACAATCCCCCAAGCAAAATCAATCATTTACTTCATGGTTGTTTGTTGGATTTTGCTGTGTGCAAATCAGCTGCCACATTCATCGACAAAATACAGTTCACAATAAAGCGATTGAGATGTCTACCCAAGTTAATCTTTTACAGTAAAATTCTGTGAAGTGCTTTGAGAATTTCCAATTACATGATAACAGTGCTACACTGTTAAATGCAACAGTTATTATTATCATCATTATTGCTATGATTACTCTTACTCAAAAGTAATACTGACGACAGTATTATCGTCAGTATTATTATTATTACTCATCACTATTATTACCTGTGACCGAGCTCGTGCGCTATTGTAAATGCCAGTGGGAGTCCAGAGTCTTCATTAATGTTGCAGCTTCTATGCGGTTGACATATTCCTGAAATGTGAGACAGGCCGAGTGTCTCACAGGGATGGTTCATTCCAGCGCACAGATCCTTCCTGCAATTGAAAAGGTATTTGCGATAAAAATAAAAATATAAAAATAATCATTTATGTAGGGCCTTTCACGTTTGGGAGGACACTTCAAAGAGTTTGACAATGGAGGCTAGAGCCTGGACTGGGGGTGAGAGCCAAAGGGGTTGGAAAGATGTACAAAATCACAGTCAAAAAGGTAGGTTTTGAGATATGCTTTAAATGAGTGGAAGGTACGATGGAGTGAAGGAGGAAGGGATGGAAAGAGGGAGGGAGGGAGGGAGGGAGGGATATAAACAGAGGGATTTTAAAATAATTATTGCTTTGCACAGACCCACCTGGTGAGCAATACAGCCACGTCGTGGTGATGTGGGCTGGAGTCACCCTTCGGGTTCATGTTCTTTTGCCATTTGCAGAAGCTGGCCAGTGTGTGGTCTCCATGGTGTATAATCTTCAGGTCTTCCTGGAAAGGGCGAGAGAAGGAGGTTCAACGAAAGGAGTGAAGAATGATGAGAAACTGAGCTCATCGGTTTAATGATGAAAAAGTAATAAATCATCATCCTAATATTTCATATAGCGCCTTTCAAATTAGGAGGTTTCAAAGAGCTTCACAGGATTTAATAATAATAATTCTACTCATTACATTTCAATATAGCAACTTTCACATCAGGAGGATGTCCCCAGAGCTCTTCCATGGGATATACTGCAAAGAGCATGACCTGCGTGTTTTGTAGGCAAATATAACCAGCCAATTTGCCCACAGCAATGTCCCCCAGACAGCCATGAAACAAATAACCAATTTTATTTTAAGAGATTATTGGCTAGAACACCTCTTTTCAAATAGCCACCATTCGATCTTTAATGTCAAATACGGAGTCCTGTTACGTATTGGTTAGAGCACTCGCCTCACAAGCGAGAGGACCCGGGTTCGATTCACAGACAGCATGAAAATTTAGCCAAGTTTCCTTGCTCCACACCCCTCTGTTTACGTAGCAGTAAGTGGGAACCAGATTTTTAGTCGATTGGCAGATTGTTTTCCAGGGGTAAGAATCCCTTCAGAAAAATGTAAAAATAATTTTGGTCACTCAATCCATAACTGTTTGTGTCTGCCTAGACTGTGAACTTAAAGTGCTAATTTAGGGATTGGACCCACAACCTTCTGACTCAGACGAGAGTGCTACAGACTGAGTTAGCCTGACATCTAATAGCACTGAATAATCTCTAAATCCCATCATCAACAAACATTGATTCAGAGTTGCTTACACTCATTGGAAACACAGAACGTTTTGGATTCCGATTTGAACATGATTTGCTGCAACATTTCCTTAAATAAAGAGCAAAAAAAGATTGTGAGAGGGAAATAATCAGTCTATATTTGCAGAAATACCTCTTCTTCTTCCAGTAAAATAAGCCGCACCAACACAATGTGGATCGCATTACCAATGCTTGGATCGTGGAACAAAGCAGTTACCTGTGACAGTACCAGAAGAGAGAAATTAATTGATTCCTCCAGCCAGAGAATTACAGCAACAATATCATGCATTTATACAGTGCCCTTCACAAGGGGTGGTGTTCTCAGACCAGTAAACAATGGTGGAGCTTGACTCCAAGCCGGGGACGAAGGGGAGGTGACCGTAGATACGGTCGAAGGGGAGAGCTTTCAGATGCGATCTGAAGATGGATAAAGAGTGGGCAAAGGTAAGGAGCTGAGAGTACCAGAGATTCATGGCTGCAGTGGCTGAAGGCACAGCCGCTGATGGTGGAGCAGAGGGCTTGAGGGAGGTGCAGAGGGTCTGAGCTGGCCAAGTGAAGGTGGTGAGTGGAGGAATGGGTGTGAGCTGGCTGGAGACATAGGGAGAGGTGCTGGGACATGAAGTGATTTGTAGGTGAGTGTGAGGACCTTGAAATCATTCATTTGGTCAATGGCCAGACTGCAGTGAAGAGAATTTACAATGCACAGACTTGACATTAGACAATTACTATTGAAACACTGACTGCCCACAGAAAAATCCAATCCAATGAATAATTACCATAGAACCATAGATATTTACAAAGAAAAGAAGGCCATCTGGCCCATAGTGTTCTGTGCTGGCTCTTTTAAAGAGCAATCCTATGCAGGGTTGTTGGCCAAGGATTGCTGCCCTTTCCACCTATCCTTGTAGTTTTCTTGAATTTAAAGCTTTTATCTCCCACAGGGTATCCTAAAGAAATAGTTTCAGACATTGTTACACACACCATCAGCAAAGTCTTATTTGGCCAGTAAAGTCAGCAAAGATTCTTTAATTATATTTCATTTTAACTTTAACATTCCAAAGGGATTAGATAATGTGGAACATGATAATCTTTTACTGTACAGTAGAACCAGAGGACATGGCCTGCGATTGAAGCGGGTAAATTCAGAACATCTGCGGAAACACTACTTCAGTGAGCGAACAGGAGGAGGGATTTGCAATGATGTTGGGGGAGATGGTGAGGGAGGGGTAATATGGCTGCAGTCAAACCTTATCTTGCAGGGAACTCTTCCAGTTTCATTTGACGACAACAAGACAGTCATAATCATTCAACTGGTCATTAACCTACCATTCATGTTACACATTACATTACAAGAACGAGCACTGCCAGTTCCCAAGGATGGGAGGTCATTGTACCAGCAGAAACTATCACAGGCATTCTTGTTCGATTCCATATTCAGAACACAGCAACAACACCAGTGATATAGAAAAGCAGGAAGCTGTCATATTCTCATTGGAATAATAATAATCCTCACATTTGATACAGGTCCCGTCACATTGGGAAAAGGTCTCAAAACACTTCACAGGATTTTACTGTAAAGTGCAGTGACTGTGTATTTTGAGGGCGAACACAGCAATTTGCACACAGCATCGTTTCACAAACAGCCATGAAGTGAATGACTAATTTTATTCAGGGAATTATTGGCCAGGCCAAAAGGGTGGCCCTCTCTTCCCTTTGCAATAGTCAACTGTCCAAGTAATGATGGGATCTCAGTTTTAACGTCTCATCCGAAGGACGATACCTCTGACAGTGTTGTATTGTAAATGCATTACTTGCCTCGGTGGTTTACGTGTATGTTTGACATCTGATTCAATCCACTGGAACAACATTTAAGATTCTTGCCTGTCCCATTTTCAACTGGGATCCATAAAACATCGTAACCAGTGTTACAGGCACATGCTCTCTAATCCGAACCGTGACCCAGCACGGTGCTTAAATCACTACTGGCTTGAGGGCTGCAAATTGAGAATAACAAATTGCTGATGTGGGGTTTGAACACACAACCTTCAGGACTTAAGCAAGGCAAGAGTGCTGCCGAGTGAGCCAGGCTGACACAGACATATATGACTTGTGGTTCTTTATCCAGGATCCTCTGCCTCACCCACATTAAAGTCCACCACCATAATAATAATCCTATTTGATACAGTCGTCGAGATATCTCAGAACACACTGTAAGGTGAATTGAGTGTGTATTTTGTGGGTGAAACGCGGCAACTAATTGTGCACAGCAATATCCCCAAAACAGTGGAGTAAGGGAACTTCTCTGGTTAAGAGTTTGCATTGCTGGGCACTTTCACAGAACTTTACATTGGAACTTGTATTAGTAGTTTAGGTGAAAAAAAAATGCTTCAATGACTTGGCATAGAAATTAGTGGATAATACGTCTGTTTTCACTGGCAAGCATTTATTTATCTTCCATTGTTTTGTTCGGATCAATCAAAAATTATAACCACGGCAAGTAGGGCGTAGCCTCTTGGATCTGTGAACTGTCTAAATCTATGAGATAATCTCCCAAAAATATTAGTTTCAGTTCCAGCCTCAGATCTTCGCTGTGAAATATGAAGTCTGTCTTCAGGCCATAATCCACACTCACCTGATGTAGTCCAGATGCTCTCCATGTGCCTAGTTTGACATTTGCCACAGACAGTCCCTGGAGACTGTTTAACAGTGTGGGTTCCACATTGTCCAAGATCGCAACCTATAAGAAACGTTCAATTTGATTCTAAACGCCCTGAGACGCTACCCCGAATGAAGGGGATGTGGAACCACTGCTGGAGGCTGTGGTTGAAGCAAAAAGTAAGAGACGCTCCTGGATGGAGGTTCAGAGACTGGGGGCAAAATGCTGAAAGCTTGCCCACCGAGTTGTATTAAAGGGTGGGGGGGAGGGAAGAAGCACAAGAAGAAGGCTAGTGCTCGCTGAAAACAAAACTGTGGGGTTCTGTACCGCTTGTCTCTCAAGTGAAAGGACTCAGATTTGATTGCCAGGTGGGGTGAAACCTTAGGCAAGCATCCTTCTCCACACTCGGTTTACCTAGCAGTAAGTGGAAACCAGGGTGTTAGTCACTTGGCAGATTGCTTATCCGGGGGTAATAATCCCTTAAAAAAATAATAACTTTGTTACTCAATCCATGACAATTTACGGAACACTTGCTGTGCGCAATTGGCTGTCGCGTTTCACCCACAAAATGTACGGTCAATTCACTTTGTAGTATATTCTGTGAAGCACTTTGAGATGTCTCGAAGATGTGATATGGCGCTACATCAAATGCAAGTATTATTATTATGGATTATTATAAAATTAAAGCTAAAACTGGAATGAAGTCAAACTGTGAAGTGCTGTGAATGTATAATGCATTGAAGCTATTCCCAGCAACACATCAAAGTGACCGAATGTGTCACTCTGCGTGATGTCGTATTTCACAAAGTACAATTTGTAGTATTATTTCGTTTCACCAGACCAGCAGAGCTCAAAGGCTTATCCCCCGAGGCAGATGCTGTGTGACAGCAACAGTTAGCAATGTCTCCAGGGTGTAGTGTCAACAGGAACTTTTCTCAAAAGAGTAACTTACAACTTGTCCAACAAGAACTTTAAGAGATTTCCTTTGTGTCAATTAACGGCGTGAAAACTGTAATGGTTATTAACACCTTTTTTGAAGTGTCAACACATCCGATATTTAAATTCTCTTAATTTCCAGATTTAATAAGATAATTATGCCATTGGTTCTGACACCATTCCATGGATTTGATATAGTGACAGACTCCACCACTGCCTCACCCCTCAGGCTGCCGAAATCCTCATCCATGCATTAGTCACATCAAGGCTCGATTATAATAATCCTTGCATTTGATATAGCGCTTTTCACGTCGGGAGGACGTCCCAAAGCGCTTCACAGAACACACTGTAAAGTGAATTGACTGTATATTTGTGGGCGAACGCGGCAGCCAATTGCGCACAGCAATGTCCCACAAACAGTCGTAGATTGAAAATGACCAATTTATTATTGTTTTTGTTTTTTGGAGGGATTATTATTAGGTGTGTGGAGTAAGGAAAACCCCAAGGTTTCGCCCTCTGCCTGGAACTGAACTCAGGTCTCTCACTTGCAAAGCGAGTGCTCTAACCACTGAGCTACAGGACTCCACGAAACTTATGGGAAACTCCCAAAATTCCAAAATTATGGAAACTCCCTCCTCATCAGCCTTCCCAACTCTTCCCTTCACAAGCAAACTCTGCAGTTCGTGTACTCTCACGCACCAGGCTCCGTGACTCCATCATTGCCACCCTCGCCCGACTCCACTGGCTCCCCATCCCCCAGAGAATCGAGTTCAAGATCCTCGTCCTCACTTTTAAGGCCATCCATGGCCTTACCCCCTCCTACCTCTCTGACCTGCTAACTCCCTACCAACCTGCCCGCTCCCTCCATTCAGCGGGCTCTGGTCTGCTCCATATCATCTCAAAGTGCTGCGTGGCATTTGCTTTAAAGTGTAGTGACTGAGTGTTGTGTAGGCCAACACAACAGCAAATTGCAGCAATGCTGATGATCAATTATATCTGGGTGGAGGGTTGACAATATCCCTTCTCTTTTTTGAATAATACCATGGGATCCTCAACGTTCACTGAATAGGCAGACTCGGTTTGACATCTCATCCCAAGGACGAAAACTGATTTCATCCCTCCAGACCACCCACCCGACTGCCCTCCCATCACAGTAGCAAGCTGCTGTTTAAATGAGTCCACGTGTCCTTGCCTCAACCACCCTTCCTACCAACATGCTCTAGTTGTTAATTACCCTCTGAGTAATAAAAATATTCCTGGTATTTGTTCCTGAAATGAGAAGAATAATAACAATCCTTGCATTTGATATAGCGCTTTATTGCGTCGTACAGACATCTCAAAGCGCTTCGCAGAATATATTGTCAAGTGGATTTACTGTATATTTTGCGGATGAAACGCGGCAGTCAATTGCGCACAGCAGTGTCCCACAAACACTCGTGGATTGAGTGTCCAAAGTGCTTTGTTTGTTGTTTTTAGGAGAGATTATTACCCCTGGAAAGCAATCTGCCAATCGAATAACAACCAGGTTCCTGCTTACTGCTAAGTAAACAGATGCGTGTGGAGGAAGGAAAGGCCCCGCCGAGAATCAAACCCACGTCCTCTTGTTTGCGAGGCAAGCTCACGAA